TTTGAATTTTAGAGGTTATTTTAATTAGTGACGGAGTATGTTGATTCCTTCAAAAAAATTCAAGGTACTCGAACCTCATAGGAAACGTAGTAGATAGTATTACGTTTCAAAACACTGATCTAGGTAAGGATCCTCACCCCTATCGTCAGTTACAATAAACTGATGTTTAATGATGGATAATTTTGTGTTTTGTAAAAATAAAAAAAAATTTAAAATAATTATAGGTCACTAGGTGGAGTTGAAAATTGTTAGTTCATATTTGTCTGATTTTCTGTTTATTTTTTGTACTACCTAAATTATTTACTATTATATTATACGTATTTAAATTGATAGTTTTTATGGCATTCTCTATTATATGATTTATTTGATCCCTCTTAAATTTTTTATTTGGTTATTAGTTATGTTAAACTATATTGCTTGCTTAAATGCTGTTTAAACTAATCGGTGAATATAAAATGAGACTTTGGTATGCTTTGGTGGTTGATTGGATGATGAGAATCTAAATAAATAAAAGCTTACTGGGTATCCTAAGAGAGGGTGGACAGACATAGTACATAAGGAATCATACCGTAGACATTAGCTCAGTTAGACGGGGCTGAAAAATTTCATACTGGAGGGGTTTTGGGAGATATGGTTCACTCTCGTACCAGATAGAGTATTGAGATGATGGTGTTTTTGGCACCCATTAACGGACAGGGTATGAGGACAGCCAGGTTAATTGTCAAATCTTAATATTGGGTCAACGAGGAGAGAAATATCTTTATGGATCCTCAGGGTTCCCAATAAGTAGGTTATAGAGGAAGAATTGTTGATCCTATGCATGAAATTGAAATGTCATTTGGATATTTGTGTTCATAGTTTGATTTTGAGAAAAACCGTAACGATAAGTATCAGATAAAACGTTTTAAAGTTAAATGTACTTACTTAAAATAAGGGTTCCGTTATTTAGTGGAAAAAAGTTAAAAACTGGTTAAATTATAGTTGAAGACTTAAAAAAAATAAGTTAGAAAAATGATTTTGATTAATTAATTAAGTTATTATTTTTTTAAAAGTGTTCAAATTTAATTTAATTAGTTTTAGCTCTTTGTTAAAAAATAAAAGAAAATTAAATATTTAAAATAAATATAAAATATTAGAGAATCATATTGTATTGAAAATTAAATTATAATAAATGTAAAATTTCATGAAATAATTTAATTATTTATTCAATTTTTATTTTCATTGTAAAATATATTATTGGGCAAGTTTTATAAGTCAAAAATATATCTCTCTTGTGAACTAAGTGGATTGATGATGTAGTATCAAATAAATGCCAACTCCTAAATTTAGAGTTGACTTTTTTGGTAATGAGAATTTTTTATATGTAATGTTTGTAAGATAATTAATAATTAACAGTAATTGATATATAATATTTAATTTAATAAAATATAATAATAATTTATTAATATATTAATAAAATTAAAATATAAATTAATAAATTTATTATATTTACGAGTGAAGTAAATATCGTAACAATATATTTGTTTAGTTTGGAGACTTGCAATAAATTAAAATTTTAAGAACATGGGAGGCAAAAATATTCAAGGTTAATTTGAGTTCCCTCATGAAAAAAACTGTATACATACAAATGTATCCTGCATGTGGCTGCTATATACCTACTATATATTTTTAAAAAATAAATAGTGAAAAATAAAAAATTGAGAAAGCTAGAAAAATCTCCAAAGTAGGAAAATTTTGGACAAATAAAAAAAAAAATCCCACATTTTATTAAAACTACATTGAATCATGACTTAAACATGAATACAGACATAGAAACAGAGCTATATGTATATATAGAAAGTGATATAAAATGAAACAATTACAAGCACAAGCCCAAGTCAAGCCCTGCTAATTTACAAGGAAAAAGAAGAGGGTAAAAACTATGAAGAAAATGGTTATGGAGATCCAAATGTAGCAGTAACAGCAGAAAAATATGAACAAAGATGTTTCCAATGTTTCCACAAGACATCACCGTCGCTTGCCGGAGAGACTGATAGAGCTGACTTTCATTGGGGTTGCTACCACAAGTGGAGCTTCAGGAGAGTCGCTAACTGCATATTTTTCGTGCATAAAACGACTTTCCACGATGGATTCATCCTTCAAGACGATCTTATAACAGTAGCAGCTCTTGAGTCCTTGCTGATTCTGGTAGCACTCGTGGCCGCTGTTCTTCACTCGCTGGAAGTCCCATATTACGCTGAACTTGCCAACTGTTGCAACAAGATGGCGCTCTTGTTTCCCGCTCTCGGTCACCTGAAAGACAATATTGGTTGTGAGAGATCAATTCATCCACGGAACTAAGAATAGAACTAACCACAGTATCAGTACAACTAAATTTCTTACAATGATGAGAAGAAGTATCATTTGAACAACAAACCAGATGAGTCGGATGAAAGGGAATTTAAAACTTAAAACCGCCGCTATATCCACCTCTTAGACTTGCACAGGAAAGTGCAGCCTAGAAGAAGCAGATTTTTCCTTCCCTCATGGAAAACCAGACTGAAAAATCTCCAATGTATTATAGAGTGAAAACCACTTTCCTTGGCTTTTGTCGAGAAACAAACAAAGAATCAATAATCTTTTACTTGCAATAAAGTGAACAGAACAAAAGAGACAAAGAATATCATTCACAATCGAGCCTTTTCCCTGGATACCATTCACTTATCGAAATTTACGAATATTTCTGACTATCTTCCAAACTAGCAACATCCTATGGGGGCAAGACAGAAAAAAGGTCAAAACATAATTACCGCAAGCGAGTCAAGAATTTAATTCAACACCGTGACATTTTCCAAGTGACCTATCATCATTATATACAGAGTAACTATTACAGATTAATTAGATGTATGGTCTTAAGATGAATCCAAATGGAGGATATAAATCAAAATAAAATAGAAGATTCTAAGGACATGATTTCAAGAAAGTATATGCAACAGACACTTGATCTAAAAAGCAAGACTTTCTCTGATGCAGCCACTAACTTTAGATCTTCCAAAGATGCTTTAACAGAGAAAAGCAGGCTCGCATAGGCATGCATATCTTCTCTAATATGCAAAGAATCTGGAACTCATTGCAGACAATTTTTCATACAGAAGAAAATAATAGAAACTTATAGATATACAATAAATATGATGACACGTTTTATGGCGCTAATACCGATCATGAAGTTTCTTATTAGGCAAGATGAGTCATAAATTACTTGCAGTAAAATATTACTTCATGCCAAATTTGTTCCATTCCATAAAAGCTGTCAGATAAAAATCTTACCCTTTCTAGCCAGCATTCAGTTATAATTAGAAACACTGCATAGTTATAGAGATGTTCGTCATATGGAAGGGGATTCAGTTTTTCACTAAATGAACAGATGGAAAAAAGAATGATTTCAATACTATGGAAACTTTTACGTCTTTCATGATAACCTAGCAAAATCCTGCATGTAATAAGTTTCAAATAGAACATCATTCATAATCCAATAAACGGCATGCAGATATAAGTAACCAGTCTAGAGTTTAAATTGGATAAAATTTCCAGCTAATATGGGAAATTAAAGAATTAAAAGACAATACAAAGCTACCAAGTTAACAATGTAAGTGGAAAATTTGACCTAGAAGAAAGGATATGTAAGCTTACCCACGAGAAATGGCCACCATGAAACTTATTGTCCTTCCCTGCCAAGTGTGAGTCCAATGGAGTTAGCTTCAGCAATCTCGGGGCAGGAATCCTGTTTCCCATACGCCCACTGAAGCCTGTCTTTGTCTTTCCATCTTTATCCGTGAACAGAGTGCAGATAAGAATCAGATATGTATCTGTTGTGCCAAGCACCCATTTCCCATCATAAGTAACATCAACATGAGTAATTGGTGATCCAAGCCCAGGAAAAGCAGTCTTAGCCTGCCTCATAGATGTCTTTGAGTACAGCCTTATCTTTCCATCAAGTGATCCAACAACAATTGATCCATCTCCAGTCGTTGCAAAGCACTGAAAATTAGTCCCTCTAGAGAATTGATGTCCCTGTGTCCAGTTCAACACTGGTGAATCAGTTCTTGTTATGTTCTGCACCATCCCTTTCCTATCTCTCATATCCCATTGACACAGCCTGTTATCATCCAAACCCAAAAAGGTAGATTCGGATGGATCCAGTTGTGATCCCTTTGAATCACTAGTTATATCCCTCATTGTAATACCAGTGCCGTCCTTCTCAAACTTCCATTCCGTAACAATCTTTCCTGTCTCAATATCTACCTGCTTAATCCCTGACGTATTAGGCTTCCCTTCCTTATCTGGACTCATTAGCATCATATTCGTCTCTGCCCTCATTA